TCGTGATTTTGCTGTCAGAACCTGTGCTGAGCCATTTCTGCCCCTCTTTGGGGTGAAGGTTGCTTGCCCAGCCCCTCAGCCCCTTCCTGCCTGCTGGCACAGCAGCACAGGGGAGGATTTATCTGCAGGGCTTGGTTGTCCTGAGGCTGTAATCGTGGTGCTGCAGCTCTGCCTGGGGCTTTCTGAACCCCTTTGTGTCTGGGCTTTGACCTTTTTCTCTTTTCTGCAACAGAAGGACCTGGAAAAAAGCCATTTTTGGGTGTTGTAAGTCTAGCCCTTTGATAAGGACAGGGGCTGGCTGTGCTCCAGAAAGACCACATGGGTGGCATTGGGCAGGTTTACCCTGGCCTTGGGGCACTTTGTGGGGTTTTAAAGTCAAAGGAAAGGGGCCATGTAGGTCAGCATTGCTATTGGGATATACTCACCATTTCTTTGGGCAGGTTTACCCTGAGTTTGGGGGCACTTTGTGGGCTTTAAAATCAAAGGAAAGGGTCTCTGTAGGGCAGCATTGTTATTGGGATGCTCACCATTTCTTTGGGCGGGCATTGGGCAGGTTTACCCTGGGTTTGGGGCACTTTGTGGGGTTTAAAGTCAAAGGAAAGGGGCCATGTAGGGCAGCATTGCAGTGGGGTTACTCACCATTCCATTGAGCAAGTTTATCCCGGGTTTGGGGCACTTTGTGGGGTTTAAAGTCAGAATAAAGGGGCCATGTAGGGCAGCATTGCTATTGGGTTACTCACCATTTCTTTGGGCAGGTTTACCCTGGGTTTGGGGCACTTTATGGGGTTTAAAATCAAGGGAAAGGGGCCATGTAGGGCAGCCTTGCAATGGGGTTACTCAGTATTTCCTTGGGAAGGGGCAGCAGGGCTCAGACGAGTGGGGATGATGGATGTGGCTCATGTGAGGAGCCCTTGGAGGTCATCAGGGCCTCATTAGCAGGCCAGAAAGAAATCCCCAAACCTCTTGGTACTGAGGGATCTCAGGGCAATGTTCATTCAGGAAAGACACTGCTCAGCATTTCCTTTGCTGCTGAGTTCCTTGAGAGCATTTACCCTGTTCTGGCTCTCAGGAGGTCAGAGAGCTGCTTGTTGAAGGGAGAAGGTGGAGACTGAGCTGGCTGGAGGAGGGACAGGCAGGTTTGAAGGGCCTGATGTGGACAGAAGTGTGGTTCCACCCCTCAGTGTCCTCTGCTGCTCCTGCCCACCCAGCTTTGCTCAAGGGCTCCCCGTCGGGTTGTCCCTTCCTCTCTCTTTGTTTCCAGCAAAATGCAGGCTGGGCTTGGCTGCTGCATTGTTTTAAACATGGGGGTTTTGGGAAAAAATACAGCTAAAATGTTTGTTTGTGGATAAAGTGTGTGATGGAGAGGGGAAACTGTGGAAAATCTGTGCTGGAGGGTCAGAGCTCCAGCTGAGGGTTGGAGACCTGAGAGTTTGAACACATGGAAAGAGCTTTCCAGTGTGGGGCTTTTTTGAAATTAATTATTCTGGGATGCTGAGAGCTGTGCCTTGGACACAGACCTGCAGTGCCTGAGCTGTGCCAAGTGCAGACTGCAGGGCAGGGAGTGCTGCAGGAGCTGTCACCCCTGTGAGCAGGTGATGGCATGGCTGGGAGAGCTCCACGGAAATCAGAAACCAGATAAATCTGCGCAAAAGCATTTTTAATTTTCTTTATTGCCTCCATCCTTTCTTTTACCAGTGTCTGAATATTTCTGAGATGCAAGACAGAGTATTTTGTCATGAGGAGCCCTTCATGGGATCCTTCCTGGGTTTACAGGGGGGGTGAGTGTTGTGTTTTGGTGCTTTCCTGTGGTGCTGCTCCCATCAGGCTGATTTTGGGGTTGGATTCTCTGTGCATCCCTCCAGCTGTACCCTGTGATGGTGTTCACAGTGGTCCCAGGATGAGGGAAGAGATGTGGATCTGACTCCATGTTTCAGAAGGCTGATTTATTATTTTATGAGATTTATTATATTAAAACTATACTAAAAAGAATAGAAGAAAGGATTTCATCAGAAGGCTAGCAAGCAAAGGAGGAAGAATGGAATGATAATAAAATCTTGTGACTGACCAGAGAGTCCAAGCCAGCTGACTGTGATTGGCCATTAATTAGCAATAACCAACATGGACCAGTCACAGATGCATCTGTTGCATTTTACAGCAGCAGATAATCATTGTTTACATGTTGTTCCTGAGGCGTCTCAGCTTCTCAGGAGGAAAAATCTTAAGGATTTTCCATAAAAGATGTCTACGACAGCCTGGAGGTCATATTTGGGTTCATATTGGGATATTCCCCCCAAAAGGAAAGCAGTCCAAAGTCTGTATCCTCACATTTTAACCCCTGCAGTCTCCCCTTGCTGAGCCCCAGCTCTGAGGGCCCTGCTTTCTTCACCATCTCTGATTTCCCTGTGCCAGGGGAGGTGCCCATGTCTGTGCCAACCCCTGGTGCCAGGACAGAGGAGGTGGCAGCTGCTGGGTGTTAGAGCAGAGCTGGGTGGCTGCTGGGATGATCCCCTCTCCCTGTGCCACCAGCTGGACCCAGCAGTGACCGATGGCTCCTGTGCAGCCAACGGATGTGTCTGAGGGATGAAGGGTCCTGGGGCAGAGCAGCCCTGGGACATGGATGCTTCCTGCATGGTGGATCCTCTCCATGGTGGGAGGACCTCCTGGGATGAGGCAAGGCTGTGCTCCAGTTCTCTCCCTGGGATCCTGATTCACAGAATTCACAGAATCACTGGGTTGGAAGAGACCTTCAAGATCATCGAGTCCAGCCCAGCCCCAACCCCTCACCCAAACCCTGGCACCCAGTGCCACATCCAGGCTTTGTTAAACACATCCAGGGATGGGGATGCCACCACCTCCCTGGGCAGCCATGCCAGAACTTTATCACCCTTTCTGTAAAAAGCTTTTCCCTGCTATCCAACCTGTATTTCCCTTGGTGCAGCTTGAGGCTGTGTGCTCTGGTTGTGTCAGTGCTGCTGCAGACAGAGCCCAGCCCCAGCTGAGCACAGGCACCTTTCAGGAGCTGTGAGAGTGATGGGGGCAGCCCTGAGTCTCCTTTTCTCCAGGCTGAGCACCCCCAGCTCCCTCAGGGGTTCCTCACAGGGTTTGTGTTCCCAGCCCCTCTACAGTCTGATGTCCTGTGAGGTCTCAAGCCCAGGATTTTAAAGGTTAAATCTCACTGCTGCTATGATTCTGGGGGAGATCAGAGAGTATTTCCAGCTTGTGGCTTCTCAGTGGGATCCAGCAGTGGTTCCCTTTCTGTGGAGTTCAGCCTTTTCTTTCCACCTGGCTGGGTCCTGAAAGGAGCAGGGATAAGTTGTCCCTTCCCTTGTAGCAGGGTCTCAAGTTCATGTGCTCAAAACACTTCAGTCTCTGGGTTCCTGTGGTCTCTAGGTTTGTTTTTAAGGGTATGAGCTTCTGTGGCTGCCACCATTGGTTTTCTTGCTGCATTTGTATTGGATTTGGTGCTCTCCTGGGATTGTTTTCCTGTTCCCAACTTGCATTTTGCTGGCAGTGCTCACAGGAAAGCCTGTGTTTATCTGTGCATCCTTTGGATGTGAGAGGGAAAGCGAGGTGTTGTTGCTGACCACTTTGTGTGTCACTAATTTAAACTCATAGTTTTTTTCTGTGTAAAGGAGTTTTAGTAGTTTTAACTGCTAGCAAGAAAGGAATTAAAGTCTTCGCAAAATGTTAGCAAGAAAATGCACTTCATTAGCTCAGTGGGATAGAAAAGGTTACTTAAATTTTAACTACTGCTTAATGATTGGTTTCGCTGATTTCACCTTACAACATTTTAAAACTAAAATGTTCTGCAAGTGAGTGGACAGCAGACATGAGTGACAGCAGAAGCAGGTCATAAACTGGCAGCAAATGTCATGCTGAATAGAATCATTGTGTTATGAGGATTGACATTCAGCTATAGTTCGAATACAGTATAACCATCAGTTCTTAGGAAATTTGGCATTGCTTTTTTTGTGGCATAGGTTAAAAGAAAGAAAAAGAAAAGGAAGCTGGATCTCTGTCTTCACCCAAACCCTGCTCTGCTCTGCCATACCATGGTGGGACCTTCTGCTCCCCTCTGAGTGTGGGGATAATTTCTGCTCTGGGGCTGTTTCCTGGCCTTGATTTGTTTTATTACTGGGTTTTTAACTTGTCTGAAGAGGCAGGGCCTTTAATCCCCAGCTGTTTAAGTGGATTGTGAGTCCTGGGATGAAGGAGCAGAAATGGAGTTTTGACCCTTGTGCAGTGTCTGTAAACACCTCTGGACACACTCAGGTGGATGGTAACTAAATCCTGAACTACTTTTCATGTTTTTCAGCTCTGAAAAGATCCTTTGAGGTCGAGGAGGTAGATCAGTCTTCAAATTCCTCCACGCCACAAAGACGGGCCCCCAACACCCTCCTCAGGTCCACCGTGTCCAGCTCCACGCAGAAGTTTCAGGAACTCGGCGCCAGGAACTCGGAGCCCTCCACCCGCCATGCGGAGCCCACAGTGCAAAGATCCCCCAAGCCCCCTCTGAGGAGAGTGGAGCTCTCTGGACCCAAACTGCCTGAGCCGGTGTCCAGAAGAACAGAAATCTCCATCGACATCTCCTCCAAGCAGGTGGAGAACTCCACCTCGGGCCTGTCGCGGTTCGGCCTCAAACGAGCTGATGTGGGCCACAAGCCGCCCGAGGGCCCGGCCAGGAGGACTGAGATCACCCTGGGCAAGCCCCAGGAGCTGCG